TATTGCCTTTTAAATTGACGTCACAAACGTTGAATGCCGTGGAAGTGCAACGTCATAAGCGAAAATCAATAATCCCGCTCATTTTGAACAGAAGCTTTTGCATTGGCTCTTCCATTTATTGTAACTTACCCGAACGATAATACAGGGATATGGAAACATAAATCACATTTGCAGTGAAAGGCAAGGAGTTAAAAATATAAATATAAGCAATGAATCATTATTTTTTGAAAGCTAACACGCGTTACTCAATTTGTTTGCACCGTTGCAGTTATGAGACTATATCTTTCAAAAAATAATGATTCATTGCTTAAGTGTCAATGCTAATCTTTTTTTTTTGGAAAAGAAAACACACACAGTTGTAACAGATATAAACAAGAGTTACTGTGAGCACTGAGCTCACAAAATGATACCCTCCGCTAGAGCTAACAAATGATTACAATGGCAAAGTCTATTTTTGCGAAGGTAAAGCCCAAATATCTCTCTGATTAAAACAAAAAGAAGGAGGCGCATGCACAACAGCACTACGTTTTGTTTATTTGTTATTTAACGTACCTCTCGAGAATTCTTCACTCATATGGAGACACCACCACTTGCCGCTGGAGAACTGCAAATTTTGACCTATACTCGGCAGTCAAGGCTATTGAGCAGTGAAAGATCTTTTTCGTACCAGAATCTACTGCAACACGGGACCTCGGTTAATACAGTTTCATCCGAAGGACCTGTTTCCACGTCCCACAGTGGGATTCGAACCCGCGACTAGTGATCAACTCCTTTCTCCTCGACTTTAGAGCAGACGCATTGCCACTGCGCCACGCGGGCGACCAATAGCACTACATATTAAGATTTTGTGAAAGTGAATTTTATTCAGTGGTATAGGAGGCATTGTGGTTAAGAAATGGTTACCCCGATATTATACTTATAGAAAGAATGGCAAAGCTGATATGTTTTTCTACGGGAAACCCGAAATATGTGCCAATCAAAACGCAAAAGAGGAGGTGCTTATTGCCAATGTGTAATAAAGAATCTCTGAAAGTCTCATTAAATTTTATTCAATGGTATAGGAGGAGTTGCTGATAAGAGATGAAAGCCCCCGAATTTATAAAAGAATGGCATTAACCATGTTTTGCTTTGAGAAAGCTAAAATAAGTGTCCAATCAGAAAGGGGAAATAAGAGGTGCACAATGGCACCATGTTATAAAAATTCTGTGATATTATCACTAAATTTAATTTAGTGGTATAGGAGGAGTTGCGGTTAAGAGACGGGAACCTTTCAATATTATAGAAAGAATGGAAATTTCTATTTTATTGCCAAGGGAAACCCAAAAGAAGAACGAGTAAAATAGAGATGCACAGTGGCTCTATTTAACAACGATTTTGCAAAAGTCGCATTAAATTTCATTCAGTGGTATAAGAGGAGATGCGGATAAATGATGGGTACCCCAAAGCATAACGGACGGACATCCAGACAGACGAACACCCCCATCACTATATACACTACCCCTTTTCAAGCGGGTGAAATGATAAGCATAAATATATAGAACACCCGGTTCATCGGATCTAAAAGTCACATTTAGTAATATAAGTGTGTATTAATTTTCTACACGTTATTTTTATGAATGGCTTTGACCGATTACAGTTGATTCCTTATGAGATATAGGCCCGGCAGATTTAACTACCTGCGCACACTAGGTCGTGGACTACTTTGTTTACTTTGCACTGACAGGTTTATATATCTTTCAGAACATGTTAAGTAATAACGAGCAATATTTTGATGCATTTACCTTGAGATGCAGACATTTATTCAATTTGTTTGTTTGTTGTTTAACGTACCTCTCGAGAATTCTTCACTCATATGGAGACACCATCACTTGCCGCTGGAGAACTGCAAATTTTGACCTATACTCGGCAGTCAAGGCTATTGAGCAGTGAAGGATCTTTTTCGTACCAGAATCTACTGCAACACGGGACCTCGGTTTATACAGTTTCATCCGAAGGACCTGTTTCCACGTCCCACAGTGGGATTCGAACCCTCGACGAAAGGATAAACTCTTTACTCCGCAACTCTAGAACAGACGCTCTTATCACTGCGCCACGCCGGCGACATTCAGTTACAACCTGAGTATTTATTCAGTTCCATGCTGAATGAACTTAAGGTCAGACGCGACGTATCTTCCATTAATTCCAGAAATTTTTTTCTATCTCCAAAATGTGAAGTTTTCCATTATGTAATTCCGGAATAATTTCAGAAATTGGTTTGAATGTTAAGAAATTGTTATGTCCCTTTATGGCTTTTTTGTAATTGGAGGTAATTTTATTAGTTTGTTTACAACATGGAGGAGCAATTTCGCGGTAAAGGTGGAAAGTTTATATCTGAAAGAGGTTGAGGAAAATACGAGCATTAGAAATAAACAAACAGCGAAAAAACCAAGAAGAAATACTTTTGGAGCCAAGTGAGTGAAAATTTTATTATGATTTCTTGTTTTCGATTCTCTTTCATATATTGTTCATACAGACGTATAAACGACTTCGTGTATATCCTGCATATTATTGTATAACTGTGCATTTAATTTATTAAAGGTCACGATGATGAAGTTCTTTCTCTGTCTGAGACTTCTCACTCCATCGATTTGCCAGAATATGTACCTTTTGAGCATGATTATTGTATGTCAGTACCATCAAACATCGAAGAAGAGGTAATGGAGATAGCTTTTGAAGACACTGATGATGATGTAACGATAAAGTGGAATGAAGGAAGAAGGATTATTGAAATTAAGTATGTCATTGAGAAGCTGATTTAAGGCTGTGAATTCTGCAGACATCCTTTGAACTTCACGAATATATGTGGCGAGATCAGATATGGACTGGCATCAATGTTACAAATAAAGTGTGTGAATTGTGATATGGTGGTATCAGTTCCAACTGGAAAGAGACACTTTCGCATAGACAGTGACCATCCATCTAGAGCATTTGATGTCAGCACAAAACTGGCTCTTGGTAGGCATTGTATTGATAATTAAATTTTATATGTACATGTACTACAAACAACAATGAAGTGCACTTCTATTTTGAGGACATATTTTTATATGATATTTGAATGGTCTACTAGTTGAACCACTAAAGATATAATAAATTACAATAATTCAGATGTATAATTATGTTGTAAAAGTAACCGTCTACAAAATTGTGTATATTTTGCAGGTATGCTTCATGCAGGTATTGGCCAGAAGAAAGCATCAATGCTCTTAAGTGTACTTAATATTCCATCTATGTGCCATAAAACCTTGAAAAAAAACAGAGAGGGAAGTAGGAAAGGCATTAGAAGAAGTGGCCAAAAAGAGTTGTGACGATATAGCTGCAGTCGAGAAGGAATCATCAAGGTACCAAAAATAATGTTGAAAGCTATGAATTATCATTACTTGTGTCACAGAAATATATTGTACATTTTTTTAACCTGTGTACTGTAACAGGTATTTTTATCAAACAGTTTATTATTATATATGCAATACTTATAATATAAAAAGCAAAAACAAGGTTACATATATACCGGTAAATTATATGCACTGTGTTGTTTTACAGTACACCTAATGAGCTTTCTGTATCATTTGATGGTGGGTGGCAGAAAAGAGGATCAGGTCGATCCTATTGAAGTTTGTCAGGTATTTATTTTATTTTCTAAACATTACAGTAGGTATTATACACATATCCTATACATTACACTTTGTAGCATTTGTGGCATGTAGTACATTTTTATCCATTTAGTGGATGTTAGTGAAATAATCAGGGATATCTTTTTTAAAAATGAATATATCTTCCAATGTTTGATAGTCCAACTTCAATAGACTGATTAGTGTATGGCATACTGGTAATACATAAAATGTAAGACAGTAGATTTTATTTTCAAATGAAATTACACAGTAGTCTAGTTGTGATATTACTGTAATTTATACATTATGTACATGTTATAAAAATTTTGCAGGTCATGCAGCAATGATTGGAAATGAAACAGGAAAAATCATCAATTTTGCAACTCGCAACAGCTATTGTAGAGTATGTGATAACTCTGAAAAATCTGGGAAGGTTCTACCTATCCATGACTGTCGAAAGAACTGGTCAAAAAGTGCAAAAGTCATGGAACCAGATATGTGCATACAGATGTTGCAAGACCTAGGCCAAAATGATGTGAATGTCAGTACTATTATCATGGACAATGATTCGACAACTGTTGCAAGAGCACGTCTGGAGGTTAACCCAGCCCTAAAGAAGCAGAGTGACAAAAACCATACAATGATACAATTTACAAATAAATTATATGACCTGAAGAAGAGCAAAAACTACAAAGAACTAAATACCAAAACCATAAATCATATCAGCAAGTGTTTCAAATACTGCATCAGTCAAAATCAAGAAGATTTGATTAGTCTAAAGAAAATTCTGGAGGCCATAACACCACATGTCTATGGAGACCACAGCCTATGTGATACCTGGTGTGGATTTCTCTCTTCTCCTGAAACCTACAAGCCACAGCAGCTTCCTTATCATAGGTACCTTTCTAACCAGCAGTTGAAATCTGATCTCTCATCTCTCTTTGGATTCTACATATCGCAGGCTGAAAAATTGATCAACTTAGGAAGTACTCAGGCAAATGAATGTTTCAACAATACAGTTGCAAGTAAAACACCAAAGTCCACCTTCTACTCTGGCTCCGAGAGTAATGACTTTCGCATAGCTGCTGCTGTGGCACAGAAAAATGTAGGACATCAATATGTAATACAGGTATATAGTATAGTAATTTGTATACTTCATTACTGCACACAATTATAACAATACTATATCTATAAGACATTACAGTAAACACATGTATTTCAATGTAATGAAGATATCATATCCTCTTTCTTTTCAGGTAAATGAGAAGTTGCTTCTTTCTCCTGGACAAGTCACTAGTTCCAGTGCAAAGAAAACGGACTTGAAAAGGAAACACGACAGGGAAAGAGAAGATACAGCAGCTTACATGAAAAACAGGGCAATGAAGAAAATAGATTCCCAGAAGTCACAAGAGTCATCAGAGATTAGGGAGGGAACTACATACAAAACATGCGTTGATCTAAACAATAATGAAGAAGACATGGAAAACATTACAGAGATACCACCACCCCTGAGAAAACCCCAGTCTACACCTATTGCTCATGACCAGTGCACATTTGTTTATTTTGATTTGGAAACTACAGGTCTTGGTAACTGTTCATATATTGACACAGAAGTAATGCATGGAACTGAAGCATTATTTTTAGAATAATTATGCAATGCAACTGCTTCATTTTTTACTGAATAATAAATTTGTAATGTAAAAGTGTATGTTTTTTGTTTGTGACATATTGATGTGTAATTCCTTTTCCTTATGATTTAGGTAAAGATTGTGAAGTTACCCAGATTGGTGCGTGTCTTTCTGAAGAATCATTTTCACAGTATGTTCTTCCATCTACTCAGTCCATTTCACCCTCTGCCACCGCTGTGTCCGGTATTGCTGTGAAGGAGAATTTGATGTTCAAGAATGGAATGCAGGTGCCATGTAAGAATACCAAGGATGCTATGAAAACATTTGTTGCATGGTTGAAAAAAATTTCAAACATAGTGCTAGTTGCTCAAAATGCAAAATTTGACTCCAGTGTTATTGTCCGTGCAATGCATCAGGTAGGACTAAGTGCGAATGACTTCATTATTGGATTCATAGACACATTAACTCTATTCAGAGAAGCAGTTCCCAACAGCAGATCTTACAAACAAGTGGACCTTTTGAAAGATTTATGTACATCACATTATGATGCCCATGATGCCCTAGCAGACCCCCAAGCTCTACAACGACTTGTGCTTCATCTTGAGATATCCAGAGGGATGATGAAGAAACACAGCTTCGGTGTTGAGTTTGTTATTGAAAATGACAATTATGCAATTGTAATGAGTAGAAATGCTTCTTCATTGAAACATCTTGTAGATGAAAATATTTTATCCAAATTTACAGCTAACAAAATTGCAGCTTCTGGTCTTCATTATGACCATCTTTGTATTGCTCACCAGAGAGATCCTGTGAATGGCATAAAGTTTATCTTGTCAGAAAAAAAAAAAAACATGGGTAAGGTCAGAGTAACATCAAATTGTAAAAATATCAAGTCATTACGTCAGTATTTTATGAATTATAAATGACCACTTGCTCAATATTGTGAGTAATACACTTGCACAGTTGGTGATGTTCTGTCGATCTTTTATAGAAGTTTAGAAAGATGTTGTTATACCGGTATGAATATAATGATTACATGTTTCTGATTTGAAAAATTATCCGTGATGTAAATACAGATACTATTCCACTACATTTTAATCTCATTTATTTCTTATCAAAGAGAGATAACTCGATCAGTTACAATGAGAAAAATAACATTTTCTATAGAAAATTTCTTCAGTAGCCTTGGAACATGGGTTTCAAAAATTAAATTTCATTTTATATCATATTTTCCCATCTGGATACATAGTTTCAATGCGAAATATATACTATGACTTTATTTATAGCATTCAATAGCTTTTTTGCACTGCTATAATAAGAATAATCCAATTTATTCTAACTCTATAAATAGCCTGGTGATATACCCCCAATTTTTTTGCATAAACAGGTTTATATGCAAATAGATAAAGCATGAAGTTTTATGGAAATTTATCTGTAATTGAGGAAGGTCTCGTGTGTCCTTAAGCTTTTCTTTACACGAGTAAGAATTTCTTTCGGAAGTACTTTTTCCCTTAGGGTGATATTTCAACAGATTTTTAGAGAAAATCATATCGAAAGTTCTTGCACAGATACATTTTAACTGAAAATGAAGTTCATCCTCTGTACTCTCTTCAAATCACAAAGACAACAGAATATCTCTGGAATTGGCCCCATGCAACTATACGACCATGCAGTCTCGATGCGCAATGGAAGAATTCAACATCAAAACTAGGCTGAATCAGCAGCCAGTAAGCCCGTATAGATTACTGAAAATAATGGATAAAGGAGATTATTGAGTAATCCTTATAAAATTTTGGAGGGGTTTCAAGAACAGGAAAAGGTCAGTTACTTTACATGAACTTTGTTTCTTATATTGATATACGGATTAAAGGTCAAGTTACAACCTGAAAAGAGGTATTTCCTAAGGTTCTTAACCCATTTCCAGTATCTGTATCAAGTATCAAGTGACCTAATATGAATGAAAAATAGATGTTGGAAATATGTCACCCAACCTTGAAATACTTGGTGCTTGTCCCGATAAAAGTTTGAAGCACACTTCAAAGATAAGGGGTATAACATTAATAGCTTGAAAAAATATGTCACTCGACCTTGGCATGACTTAATGGTACCTCTATAACCTAACTCTGATAGCGGGAAATAAAAGCCCTATGGACAATTACCTTGCTTTAGTATTTGTTCGAAGCACATTTTAAAGATAACCAGGATAATAGCTTCAATCCCTATATCAGTTTATCATATTCAGACGAAACCAATTTCAGGTTAGCTAATATGCCCCGCCCCGTTCCTTACGGAGGACTGAAAAGGCATTCTACCCGAATGTCTCAACCTTTCTCCAGCGTTGATCTGTTTAAGAGGCCAAATATACTGGAATATTTTAGTTATCTGTTTTTTTTTTTTCAATCGTTTAATTTCTTTATGCAGGTAAGTTACCCCCAGAAGATCACCGACACAGACATGAGAGTGGACCAGACACATCCCCAACCAACATCTGCTACTGTTTACTCGTATGACTCAACAGTTCCCAGTCAAGGTCCCCTGGCCAATCACGAGAAGGACTTCTATGAATTATGTAGAGGTACAGGGGCTCTTCTTTTACAGAAACTATATAACAAGTCTTTCGAAAATTTCACCTGTGTCAGGAAAAGATCCAGCTGTTGGACGCTCATGATCACTCACTTCTATTTCTTGAGTTATTGGCCAACTTCCATTCAATTCTCCAGAAACAAAAATGGAATTGTCATTATTAATCTGCGAATGCTGAAAAATAATATTCCTTAATTTAAAAAAAAAAAATAAAATTCAGTTTTCAAAAATACATTTAAATAATCAAATATTTTTATTGATCTGCAATGATAAATACTTGTGCACAAGTTTTGTTACTGAATTTTATATCAGCAAATAATCTTACATACAAGTACTCTTTCATTGGCAGCCAGGGAATCCACTGGGGGAGGAACTGAGATTTCAGAATGAGGGTCTTGTACAATACACTGTTTCCTCTTGGATATAGAAGTTGTTGAACGAATCTAAAGATAACAAATCTTTAAGCACTCAAGACTATAGTATGTGTATCTCTAAATTGTAATATTCCATACCTATTTAAAATGTTCAAAGCTCAAACAGTTCTCAATTTTGTGTTTAATCCTACAATATATCATTATGATAGTACATTATCATTTTCCATTTATCTTGATGCAGGTTTGTAGAGCTGTAATCTTGATTTTATATTACATCAAAAGGAAATAGTGTGCACAACTATGCCAGGCAGGCAGGCACCAGTCATTCGATACGTACAATCATGATACCTGATACTAACTTTGGGATGTTTAATAATCAAAATCATAACAAACCTTCAGACTTTCCTTAAAATTATTATATGCAAAGAGCTCTGGGTATGGATGATCTTCTGTTGGTCTGCCTTCCTTAAAATGAAGAGAGCATACTCTGTGATTTCTCTTTGGCTCATAATTTTCTCTTCTCAAGAGGTCCAGCCAGCGTTTTCTTTGTGCAGGCGTTTTTTTCTGGGTTGGAAAGGGGTAAAATCTTACATCTTTCATGTAACCATATCTTCCCCTTTTTCTTTCATCAGAATTGCATCCCTCCGCAACGCAACGAAGAATTCTCACTGTATGTTTGATATCGATTGCGTATACATGTAGACATGCATTATTCAATCCTCAGGTGGCTTATAAGGTGATTAACTTTTCTGATTACGTATATGGAGCATTAGCGTAAAGATGGATTTATTCTGAGTTTTAAACCAAAGATCTTGTGTGCGATTGCGAGGAAATTCTGACGGCAGAGTGAAACGAGTAAGAAAAGAGTTATCAGTGATGTGTTAGTGTCTGTGTCATTCCTATGAAGTATGAACGATTCAAAAGAATGAAGGTAAGTTTTTTTTTTTTTTTTAACATAATTAATTTATTTGGAATATACACAGATTGATAAATGCTAACTCGCACATGACATATTACACTGATCAGCTGATGTTATATATCTTTTTTTATTGTACAGACTCAAACTGTAAACACTTTGACATTATCATTTAAACTTTTACTACAATAGCTTGTAATGCTTATGAATACTTTATTATGTATGTTACATAAAATATCAAACTTCATTTTCTTTGTGGAGTGTGGTTATGAAATTTATTTTGAGCACATTAATGTAACCGCATGTTGGGTAGTACATGAAAAAAAATGTAAGTTTGTAAATTGATAGTTTTCATGGGCTATGTAAATTTCACAGTCAATTGGCAGTGAATACTCTAAATATAACTATAATCGATGATGTCTTAACTATTTGGCAGTGATGTAATAGTTTGCATGAAATTCGGTGTGAAGTCTGAGCTACACGTACCAGCTTGTTAACAGCGAATGACATAATCATGATAATTTTTATGGTATGTGTAAACTACATTGAATTATTTGTTTGTTAGTTGTTTAATGTCCTTCTCAAGAATTTTTCACTCATGTGGAGACACCACCGCTTGTCGGTGGAGAGCTGCAGGTTTTGACCTATGCTCGGCACTCGGGGCCATTGAGCAGTGAGGGATGTTTTTCGTTCCAGCACCTACTGGGACACGGGACTTCGGTTTATACGGTCTCATCCAAAGGACCTGTCTCCATGTCCCACAGTGGCATTCGAACCTGCGACTTAAGGATCAACTCCTTACTCTGCGACTCTAGAGCAGAGTCGCTCTTACCACTGCGCTATTTTTATAGTTGTTTGTTTTCTTGAAATCTTCTTAGAAATTTTCTCTCGTGGTTTCACTCTCTATGCCAGCACCTACTGAAACATGAGACCTAGTGTTATATGGTTTTATCCACAGGATCCTTATCTTTGTCACTCAGTGTATTCGAACCCATGAACTGGAAGTATAAAGGGTTATGTCCATTCAGACTAATTATAGATACAGATTTTATTAGTCAGAATGAAAATGTATTAGCCTGAAACTAACGGACTAATGTAAGTGTCGAACCTTGCGCATTAAGGATCATCATCAATCAGCTCCTTATTTCACAACTCTTAGGAATAAAATAAGAAAATACTCTTAACAACTATGCCACTTTATTCTTGAAAACAAAAAGGCATATAGGTTCAACAATACACTAGCCAAAATACTTTAAATATTAATTGCTATAGGTCAGAAATTGATGTTCTGTAACACATGTAAAAAGTCAGCTTAATTAAATTTCTCAGGTATATTTCATGATCAGTGTATATAAACAGCCAAAAATTGGAAATGTTTTATATGAAAGTTTGAAATAGATTTTAGGGATGGCAGTTGGAAAAATTTTTGAAACTAAGGGTAGTCCGAAATTTTTATCACCATGTAATAATCAGGTTATAATCAAACAGACAGGACTTGTTAAAAATTTTATTGTTTTTTTTTTCAGTTCATTTTCTTTCATTTATAAAACAATTATAATAATCAGAATTCTTTACTTTCTCTAATAAATTAAGAGCTGTAATATTAGTTATTTGCTATGTAGCTTGTAACACAAGCTTTGATTGGTTAAAAAGTTGGGTGTAAATTTCCGTATACCTGACTTAAGGAAGTGATTGCAAGGGTACATGAAAAAAATCCGCTCTATGATTTTTTCTCATTTTTACATATAATTTGCCTTACGTTAATGGTATCATAATATGAAAATTTCAACCATGGTCATCAGGATTATAAGGAAGATATGGTTGCCATGGTAACCACCGTTTTTCAATATTTTGATATTTATGTAGTGAAATTTTAAGTATGCCATGCAGGTATCAAAATTGAAACAAATTAAATAATTTTCACCAGATATTAAATAATATGCTTTATATTCATCGAAAATAAAAGTTGTATCGGAAACTATTGATAGATGTACTAATGCCACAGTTGCTTTGGGGAGTAGTCATTGTAAATTTGCAGTAATATTTTCACCCCAAGAGCAGTTTTCAACGTCTTGACAAAAAATTGCCCAATGAATTTTCCTAAAATTAATATATTTTGTAACAGTTATTATAAGTGACTTATGGTTTAAATATGAAGTGGGGTCATCACATTCTTTTTTAAGCTACATGCATTTCAATACCCCCCCCCCTTCCTAAAATATTAAAAGATTTCATAAATTTTAATCTAATGGTTTGTTGCTGAACCTTTAATATGCATAATCTGTTAAAAAACTATAGAAAATACGTATAGATTAATAATTTTTTTTCCTGAAAATCTTGTGGTGGTTGCTCATTTTATATGTAGAGCAGAATGATCGCAGAATGATATAAGTATCATGTACACAAAAAACAACAATATGCATATATTTTTTTTTATTTCCCCATCTCCAAAATATTCATTCCGTTATTATATCAATATAAGTATATACATTCTAAACCAGTGCACAGTGGTCTAAGGGCCAAATTGTTCATTCTCTGAACACTCATCGAGTTCTCTGCACTGTGACTTGGTATCGGAAGGGGGGGGGGGGGCAGTCACTTGAACACATTGAATGAATAGGTTATTTCAGATATTTCAGAGAACTTGTACCTGCAATATATACCGTATATAAAAATCCTAGCTATTATCTTATTTGACAAATTTTAGTGATTTACTATTTAATATTTACATTTGCAAATATTTTTCCTTCAGATTCATTGCAAGTTAGAAAACAATTCAATTTTTTAGAACTAGGTAAGCCTACATATCTCCATTGTGACGTCATAATGCCACACTTGACGTCAAAACTATAGTGCAAACTGTTTTGTTTCAAAAATAATCGTAGAATGACATTTATAAATTTGCGCTTCATGCTCACGCGGTTCATGAAATATTCTGAGGTGAAGTCCTTGTTCATGTCCTCGTGAATTTTAAAAAAAATTAATTCATTTTTCAAATATATTCCCGTGAGCATGATGAGTTGAAATGTTTTTGGTTTTGTTTTTGTTTTTGTTTTTTTTTTATAAATGTATATGCTCAAAATAATTTTCTCTGTATGGTATACCTGGTTCCTCCGTAGTACCTCGATTGTCAGAATTAACCTCTCTTAGTTTCGTCTGTCATTCTTACACGCGTATTTTTTGCTAGATTTGTGAAAACTTGCAAAAAGAAACTTTTCTTTTCTGTAAGAAGAAGTGTGTTAAGTTTCAATTTTTTACCAAATACGACGCATAAAACACTTTACCACCACAATTGTTTACGTAATAATGTGCCGACGATTCAATGTTTACATGGTCGATGTAAGAGTTGAAAATGCTAGAGAAGATCTTACAGAAGAAAACAATTTCCTCTGCGATATTTTTAAAAATACGTTCATGTCCAGCATGCGACCTCAAACTGGTCTATACACGTATATGTGAAAATCGCATTCGTTTATCTGTCCATCCATATAGGCCTATATTCATTATAATCACTGAGAAAATCACGCCGTCTGAAGCTTTTAGAAAATGAATATCTATTCATAGATGTAGATCCCATAGGAAAGAAACCGATCTCAAATAAAATTCTAATATTTTAAATAAAATTAGAGGACATAAAGATCCAGATATGAATTAAATTTATTCATGAAATAGATTTCAGTGTTCAGAACTAAGACAAAAGGTAGACGTGTCAAAACGAAAAAAAAAAAAAAAAACAAAAAAAAAAAAAAAAAAAAAAACACGGGGATAAAAAAAATCTGCGTACGCTCACCAACACCCTGCAACATTACATATTTATCTTATTCTTTCTCTGTTTTAAAAATATTGCCACGAAGATCTTTTGTCATGGGCTTAATCATAATCACGCACCTTATTCAGCTGTTATTCCGGAAATGGTTACCGTAAATCTTCTTTTTTAAAACATCACATGAGTTGATCACGTGACGCCTTGCAATCGCTTCCTTAAGCCGGGGGTAAAAAACTTGACGTCACAATGCAAAAAAATTGACGTCACAATGCATAGTTTCTCTGTGATAAAAAGCAAATAACATGTCACGATTGATGCATTGTAGGAGGTAGTAAATAATATCAATAGCTTGAAACGCAGTTGTTTGGACTTGTTTACAAAGAATTTATTTGGGTACATAGGAAATAAATTCGTTATCCAGGTCCAATCAAGGGTGTATGGGGATTTACCACGGGTTTTATTCCAGACACCCTGAGGCCGAAGTTTCCAGGTCCAATCAGGGGTGTACGGGGATTTACCTCGGGTTGTATTCCATATACCCTGAGGCCTTCGGCCTCAGAGTGTCTGGAATAAAACCTGGGGTAAATCCCCATACACCCTTGATTGGACCTGGATAACTAATATTATCTAGGTTCAATCAAGGGTGTATGTGCATTTTACCCCGGGTTTTAGACCATACACTCGAAGGCCGTATATTTGCTTTTCATGCTAGAGTGTTCAAACAATACATTATGATGTCACATTATTTACGCAAGCTGGAGCCAGGTGTACAGAAATTTACACCTGGCTTGCTAACCAATCAGAACTTGTGTAACAATCTAGATAGGAATAATGAAAGAGATTGATTGTTTGCTCTTTTACATCCCATCGAGAATTTTTTCACTGATGTAGAGACATCAACACATACCATGAAGAGCTTCACATTTAGAGCTCACTTGGCACTCAGGCCATTGAGCAATGAGGGTTCTTTATCATGCCAACATCTACTGTGATATGGGGCCTCAGTTCTTATCATCTGAAAAGCCTGTAACTTTTACTTCTAATACTGGATGTTTGGTGAAGGAACAGTCACTATCTATGTTTACGTCTTAGGTTTGATGCAGTGAACGAGAATCAAACCCGGTACGTCCAGATCATAAATTGAAAGCCCTACCACTTAACACTGCTTGAAAAAACACCTTTACAAAACTTTACTTGCAAAGTAAATCTCATTAAAGGTGCTCCAAAAAGCAAGGTCATCTTTGTATTAACTTTACAAAAAGTAAAGGTGAAAAGGTAACCTTTACTTACACGAAAAGGTAATTAAATCTAACCTTTCACCTTTAATGCT